TCAAGAACTGGTAGGTACTGAATCAGTGTCAATACACTGAAGTGAAATCTAACCGAGGGTTAAGGAATGATAGTATACAGAGAGACTGAAATATATCAATGCTTTTCCAGAACTGGCTTCAATTAATAAGCAGACAGCAGGTGATAAAATATTTTTAGAGAAGAGGGTCTGGCTGAAGACCAGATTTCCAGAGGAGACAAAACAAATTATGATTCGTGCCACTGGTAGAAAATGCTGCCAAGTCTTGTGAGATCTGTTTAAACTTTTTCATCATAATATGAATGACATGTACAGAGATTTGTGAAGTCCACCAGAGACTTCATTAATGCTAGCCTGTTTGACCTAGGGGGCTTATGTGTGCCCTAGGAGTGCTAGAAGTACAATATCCTCTTGTTCTAACCTCTGTCATTAGTAAAGTGGGCTTTTCTCTCTGTATATAGACACATTTGGATTTTTTAGGTTAGCAGTTTACATTTGGCGGGTGTTGTGGTCAACCCCAGCCAGCAACTAAGTGCCACGCAGCCTCTCACTCACTCCTGCTGATTGGCATGGGGGAGAATCCGAAGAGTAAAAGTGAGAAAACTCATGGGTTCAGATAAAGACAGTTTAATAGGTAACGTGAAAGCTGCGCACGCAAGCAAAGGAAAACAAGGAATTCATTTACTGCCTCCCATTGTCAGGCAGGTGTTCAGCCATCTCCAGGAAAGCAGGGCTTCATCATGTGTAATGGTTACTCAGGAAGACAAAACACCAAAGGTCTCTCATGTCCCTCCTCTTCCCCCGGCTGGATATATTTAGCATGATGTCATATGGCATGGAATATTCCTTTGGTCAGTTGGAGTCAGCTGTTCCAGCTGTGTCTCCTCCCAGCTTTTTGTGCACTCCCAGCCTAGTCGCTGGCAGGGCGGGGGGAGAAGCAGAAAAGGCCAGTGCTATCAACACCATTCCCATCCCAAATCTAAACCACAGCACTATACCAGCTGCTAGTAAGAATGTCAGCTATCCCAGTTGAAACCATGACAGCGGGATAGTATGCACTACTGTGCATTTAACCTCTGTATTTCTACAAATGAAACAATGAAGGCAAAGGTAAAGATTAATTTATTAGGAAATACGTCATTCAAGATGTTGGTGACTTTCTCTGCAAACACACAAAGAAAAATTGTAGTTCCCATTCTGGTTTGCTTTTCTTCACTCCACCGAGCTGGGAAACTCTGAAGTCGTGTTTATTTTGAGAACAGTTCATGCAGTTGCTAGACATGGGATCCAAATGTCTTGGCAAACCCCATCCTTAGTCCTCATGTTCCCTAACACAGAATTGTGGCTGGAGTTAGAGGCGTGACTGTTGAAACCTCCAGTATGGGTCCTATATTCCTTCAAATACTTTGAAAGTATATGTGTGTGCTTTTTTGAGTGTTTCTGTAGCTTTACAGAAATGCAATGAAATGAAAAAAAAAATAAAAAAAAATATTCCGTTTTGATTCATGCTGTTCATCACTTCTGCAGTTTGTTTACATTAGTTTACGCCATGCTTTTGGAGCAGGAAACTTCTAGTTTTCCAAATTTATTGCCTGTGTTCCACTTCACACTAAGGGCTCCATTCTGGTCTGACTGAAACAAGCATAAAAATCCTACAGTGAATTTGGGTAGGTAGATTTATTGAGCTTTTCTTTTAGTGAAGAGTGATCTGTTTAAATATAATTGGAGAAAGCACCTGATTGGAACCTGCAAATACTGTGCTTGCATCCACCAAACAAGAGAGAATTAACTTGCACTTTCTGACTCTTTGTTCTGTTGTCAGTAAAGCCTCAGATGAATCAGTTTAATCAGCCACTGGAAAGAACAAGTTAAAAAAGTAGGACGCGAGTTTCTGAAAGCCCTGTCCTCTTTTCATCAGACAAGTCACTAGCCAATGCTTATGCTGGGAAGAGAATATAAATCCTGTCCCCACAACTTGACTTGTCTGGCAATCCAAAATAACAAGTCCCACATTGTAAGAATAGCAGAATTTTGTTGGGGGTCAGTTGGTCTGATGAGGTTATTATGCACTAGTTAAGCAGTTGGGGGATCCCTGGGAGTTTTTCCTTCTCCATCTGATGTGTATTACTGTGAGAAGGTTATTTATCTTTCTCATAGAGTTTATGGCTCCCTGCGATAGTGTCACAATTTTGCTCCAAAGGTGTTTGCTCAAGACAAGCGTGTCCCCAATTTCTTGGAATACCTGTTAGAGCTAAACTTTAGCATGGGCACTGCTTAATTACTATAACATTCCTGATTAATTCTGTGGCACCACCAGTGAACTCTGAAGTGAGTGTTTACTGAAGTGAGTCAGGGAAATTTAGGAGCTATCAGCAGTAATTTTAGCTGATGTTAGATGTTTAGATGTTTAGATGATGACTGTTTTAGATAATTTTAAAAAACATTACTGGTCATATGAATGTTCTGGCAAAACCTTTTAGTTAAAATGGGTTTTAATTGGGTTTTAATTTCGGGGAAGACTTATGTATATCTGGGTTTTTTTTTAGTAATAGGTGCCACATTAAGTGGCATCTGTCCTGAAGCCCCAGCTGCTTGTTTCTGCCCTCTATTCGTTGTCCTCTCTTTTAGCCAATCCAACTATTTGCGTGGCATGTGATAAACTGTATTAAGGAACAGAATTTAAAATAACATTCATTCCCTTTTCCTGCTGCTGTTCAACAATATCCTTTTGATAATCTGTTATTCTCCTGTCTCCACAAATACCTTTTTCCATCGTATTGAAGAAGGCAGTAAGGCATTGGGGATCAAAAGTTGGGTAGGAAAGTGGGAGAAGGAATGGGAGCCGTATAATCTGTCTAATCCTTGGAAACAAATGTGTGTGACTTTTTTACCCTTGTTAGTCAAGAACTGCATGACTAGTCATCTTCCTAGCTGAGATATGCTGAACCCCTTCTATGGTGGAGCGACTACATTAGTGGACAAGGAAAGAGCTACAGATGTCATCTGTCTGGACTTCTTCTAAGACTTTTGACATGGTCCCCCACAACACCCTTCTCTCTAAATGGGAGAGATATGGATTTGATAGGTAGGCTCTTCAATGGATAAGGAATTGGCTGGACGATCTCATCCAGAGAGTAGTGATCAATGGCTCAATGTCCAGATGAAGATCAGCGACGACTGGTATCCCCCAGCCGTCTGTACTGGGACCAGCATTGTTTAATATTTTCATCAGACATAGACAGTGGGATTGAGTGCACCCTCAGCAAGTTTGCTGATGACACCAAGCTGAGTGGTGGGGTTGACACATCTGAGGGATGAGATGCCATTCAGAGGGAGCTGGAGAAGCTCAAGAAGAGGGCTTGTGTGAACCTCATGAGGTTCAACAAGGCCAGGTGCAAGGTCCTGCACATGGGTTGGGGCAACCTCCCAGGTGGGACAGAATGGATTGGGAGCAGCCCTGAGGAGAAGGGCTCGCGGGTGTTGGTGAATGAGATTCTCAATATGAGCCGGCAATGTGCGCTGGCAGCCCAGAAAGCCAACCGCATCCTGGGCTGCATCAAAAGAAGTGTGGCCAGCAGGTCAAGGGAGGTGATTCTGCCCCTCTCCTTTGTTCTCGTGAGACCCCACCTGGAGTACTGTGTCCAGCTCTGGAGCCCCCAACATAAGAAGGACATGGACCTGTTGGAGTGGGTCTAGAGGAGGGACACAAAGATGATGAGAGAGCTGGAGCACTTCTCCTATGAAGACAGGCTGAGAGAGTTGGGGCTGTTCAGCCTGGAGAAGAGCAGGCTCTGGGGACACCTTGTAGCAGCCTTCTAGTAGTTAAAGGGGGCCTACAGGAAAGATGGGGAGGGACTCCCTATTAGGGAGTGTAGCGATAAGACAAGGGCTAACGGTTTTAGACTGAAAGAGAGTAGATGTAGATGAGATATAAGGAAGAATTTTTTTACAGTGAGGGTGGTAAGGCATTGGCCAAGGTTGATCGGAGAAGTTGTGAACGCTCCATCCATGGAGTTGTTCAAGGCCAGTTTGGATGGGGCTTTGAGCAACCTGGTCTAGTGGAAGGTGTCCCTGCCCATGGTAGTGGGGGTGAAACTAGATGATCTTTAAGGTCCCGTCCAACCCAAACTGTTCCATGATGCTATGAATACACTGTTGTTAGCCCCTCACTCTTCCTTCATGCTTTCATCTTAAACAGACTCTGTCTAAATTATTTTCTTGAAGCTTTTTCAGGGAGTTCATTGTTAAAGATTTATAAGTAGTGAATGAGGTTCTCCACTGTGTTATCGAGGACATTTTTCTTAAGTAAATCGACACATTCACTTCTGAAGGGCATTCAGTTAGACAATTGCATACAAACATCCTCTGTGTCCCTGCCTTTTAACCTGAGTCAAGACACTAATTCATTCTCATTTCTTGTAAACCACCTTCAGAAAGACAGGCAAATGGATGTATTCAGAGCAAAATGAAAATACTACAGAATGTCCTTAGATTCCTGAGAAGTGAACCAGGACATTAGATTTTAGGGCTAGTTTTAAGTTTGCAGAAACTTTCCAGCACAATTATTCATTGCCCAGGAATCCTAGTTCTAGAGAATGTTGAACTGGAAATTCACTTCATGGAATACATTTTTCTCAGAAAAATCTGAGAAATGGGAATGAGATTCCTAAAGTGGAGCAAGGAGGTGAATACTTTTCATATTCCCTTAATCTTTGTATGAAGAGAGGAGTAATGAGAAACAGCAATAGAGGGCTGGGGGTGAGAAGGGTAGCAGAAGAGTTCCATCCTGTGGACAAAAATTAATGAAAGAATCATTAACTGTACTGTATAAATTCTTACAGGTAGTTACCAATGACTTAAATCAGTAACATTACTATGTAATCTAATAACTGTGTAATATTTCCTTCCCACCTTGCTTTTTTCTTCTCCCATCTAGAAAACACGTCTTTGCCTGTGAAAAAATATTGTCTTGCGTAATAGTATGTGAAGTTAATAAAGCTCTTTATTCTTCTGCTCTACAGGGTTTCCTATACAGATGAATGACTCAGATCACTGGCTATTTCAGCATTCATTTCAAGGATGCATGCAGTTTATTCACGTGGATGATCAGCTGGTGGATTTGCACGCAGTGGAGCAAGGCCAGCTGGGAAGCTTTGCCAATGTCACCATTGACATGTGTGCCATTATTGACAGGTAAGTTACAGAGATATCAGTGATACTCATACACTGATACATGTCCTGCGTATTAGGAACATACACAGTGATACAGAAAAGGTGGTTCTGACACTGCCAGTGAACATCTCAAGGCAGTCCTACCTTTTTAGCAGTGGGAACCACGCTCCGATGATGGAGATGATGGCTTTAAGTTGTAGATTGCACAGGGTGCAATGGAAGGAATATCTCCAGTCTCCTCGCTCTCAATCAGAGGCGGAGGTGAGAAGCTCTTGCAAGTCAAATTCAGTGCATGGGTCAATAATACGGTGGCCTTGAATATTGGGAACTCTCCTGAAAAGTCACACATTTTGTCTTGTTTCTTAGATGACTCTTATGGAGATCTTCTTGCTACTAGAAGTTGTGCTTCCTGGCTTCAGTGCCTTCTGGCTTCACTGAATTCCTCAGAGAACTAGAATAGGTCCACTTACTTGCACATCTGTGCGTGTTATAAATGCTCAAACCTTATTATGCTTTAGTATTATAATAACATTCTTAGTCATTTTTTTTTTTTGCAAACTGAGGAGGGTAGTTCAGAATTACAGCAGGCTTTTGCTTTGAGCCCTACCTTTTAACCCACTTGCGTTAATTTCTGTTGCTCCTGATCAATAGTTTCTTCTTTGTTGGCAAAAAAGAAAATACTAGGAAAGACAGGGCAAGAGCAAGTATTAAACAAGTCTGCTGGAAAGCTGAAAATGGCTTTTTAGAATTTTGATTTGAAAGAAGCAAAGATTGCAAGATTATAAAACACTAGAATAATTCAGGTGACAAGCAACCACTGGAGCTCATATGGTCTGAGACCCGTTCAATACAGGGCCAACTTCAAAGCTATGTCAGGTTGCTCAGGGCCACGTCCAGTTGAGTTTTGAGTATCTCCAAGGATGGAGACTCCACAGGCTAAGTGACTCTGGATATCATCAGCAAGATCCGCATACTTCTGGTAAAGAAATACATGTGCTTTTAACTTCCTACTGTAAGTTAAGAGAATCTCAAAGAGAGAAATGCTGCGGTGAAGAAACAAAATATGGCATAGTGCTTTGGTCTCACAAAATGGCTTCTCTTCCTGAAATGTAGACATCAGTTTGCACTAAACAAGTTGTGGTGAGTTGACCGCAGCCAAACACTCACCCTACCTTTTGCTCACTCCCCTCTCCTGGGACATGGGGAGAAAAAGAGGGGGAAGGCAAAAAGACTTGTGGATTAAGATGGCAGTTTAATAACAAAAGCAAAAACTGCACATGCAAGCAAAGCAAAAAGAGGAATTCGTTCACTACTTTGCATCAGCAGACAGATGTCCAGCTGCTTCCTGGGAAGCAGGGCCTCAGCACATGTAACAGCTGTTTGGGAAGAGCAACTCCATACCTGTAAAGATCCCCCCTGCCTCCTCCATTCCTTGAGTTTTTATTGCTGAGCATGACGTTGTATGGTATAGGATATTCCTGTGGTCAGTCTGGGTCAGCTGTCCCCGCTGTATCCCCTCCTAACCTCTTATTTTCCCCCCATCCTCCTGGCCTTTATGGGGGAGGGTGTGGAGAGAAAGCCTTGATGTTGTGCAAGCCCTGTTCAGTGGCAGCCAAAATAATGGTGTGTTACCAACACTGTTTTAGCCACACGTGGGAAACTCAGTGCCATATGGGGGGCTACGAAGAAGATTAACTTAGTAACTTCGTCCCGGTCAGACCCGGTATGCCGTTTTAGTAACATCAGCGTTAAGGAGAATGCTTTGTGGCATACCACTGAGTTGTTCTGGTGTGTCACGCCACTTTATACTGCTGCTTCTCATGGACCTGTTGAGGTCACAGTGAAGTCATATGACACATAGTGAATTCACTATGACATAGGAAGTCATAGTGAAAAGAGGACGTGAAGAGCTGCTGTCATAGGGAAGAAGTTTGTCCTATCTCCTCACGTACAACTGAAATTAGAAAGGCCTCCTGTGGTTAGTATTTGGTAGGTTGAATTGCTTAGTTTTATTTTGACTATTTGTTATTGGAAATGTAAATTGACTTGGAAGAAAGGACGTGAAGATGCATCTAATTAAGTCTCTGCTTTTTCCCCAGTGGGTAAACCTAAGCTTATGCGATGGGTTTGTATTGATCCCACTTACGCCAGTGTCTATTAGAAATAATTCCATCATCACAGTGAAGTTAATCAGAGTTAGACTTTTGCAATGTATTACAATGTAATTACAATTAACTTACAATGTATGTTAATTAGAATCAGAGCTTTACAATACATTTTTGAAAAATAAGACTTCAAGCTTCCTATATGTCAAGCAGCTTACTTTTGAAGTGAACTTCACCTAGAAGTTGCTATTTCTAAGGTATTTCTTTTTATAACATATAATAATGTATATTCAAATATTTAATATATTTTAATATAATGCCGTATATGATATTATATGAAATACCTTTTACTATATTAAGATATTATGCTTTATGTATTTAACATGTATTATATGTTAGATTTATTTAAGATAAATTTTACATCTAATGTTTGTATGTATACTGTATTTTAATACAAATAAGAGTGTTTTATATATGTTTATGTACGTATGTTTTCTTTATATAAGAAAACGTATTCTCACTCTTTTTCTGCCTTTGGCCACCTTGGACCCTGATATCATCCTCATTATATAAGTTAAAACTGTATGTATTATATTTGTGCTTTCTAAGCACTGGAAGATTGTGTTGCAAGCAGAGTAACAATTGTATAACCATAGGAAATTAGAATAGTATCCAAAGAATTTTCTTAGGGTTGGTTTGGGGTTTTTTTAAGGATTGAGATGTAGTCTAGTTTGTTGTTTCCCACTATCAAATTTATTTCTTTGTAGTTTGCACTTTAAAACAAACCCTTTGACTAGTAAGTAATAATGCCAAGCTTTAGATCTGACTGGATTTTCATGGCTGTCTTGTTAACATCTGCAAATAAGAGTTTACAAGCACTTCTGTTACAATATGCCACCATATATAACATTTTTATATGTGGCTTTCTTTTAAAGGATCCAAGTATATATCTGTGCTATATATTAGCTTAATTTCATATCCTTTGAAATGGGAAGATACTTGTAGCTGTGACACCGGATCCTTCTGCTTTTTTAAACTTGTTTGGCTCTGAATTGTAAAGGCTTTGGTCATCATCAACATGGAAATTGCGTTCATAGCCACACTTCAGTGAAAACCCCCACTGGGCAAAATGATAAGCTGTCACACTGAATTATTTTTACTGCAGACTCCAGCCATTTGGTTGGGGAAAAAAAGGTGAAGTTGTAAATGGTGGCATTTTTCATCGTTAGCCAGAGCGGATAGTAAGGAGGAGACAGTCTTCTCTGTAAGGACATGACAAAAGGTACTGACGGTGGTGAGTTCTCATGTTGCACCCACCTGGAGGTAACTGCTTCCAGAGTCCCAGGTTCTGCCAAGCTAAACACCTGCCCCATATGGAAAGCATTTCTGCATTTTAGTTCCAGTATTTTTCAAGACGTTAGAAGAGTAGTGACATTACAGTATTATATTTGTACTTGGGAGATACAAGTGTTGAATGAGTGTCTCTTTATTTTCAGTCGTCCCCTTCTCACATGAGGATTTTGCTATTGCAAAGACTACAAGCTGAGATCTTATTAAAAAGGAACACCAAAGCTAAGGAACATTTCTTTTTACTGGTGGCCAAATAATATAAATGCATATAATTTCATGCAGGTATATATATAGTAATTACAGGCAGTTAAAATGCTACTGAGAAAAAATAATTTTCTGTTTCTGTATCTTAATTAACTTTCATTGTATTAGCAATGGAAGCTGCATTGTTGTCAGAGTGATCAACATGCTGTACTGCTTGTGACAGCACAGGTCCCTATACACCTCCTTTACTTACCATTAACAAACTAACTTGTTGTTACAGTCCAGATGGTACAGTTGTACTTTAGGATTTCAGCACAGGACATTGACCAGGAATTATTACTCACAACTAATTTATCCCAGCAGTTTCAGAGAACTCTAAAGCTTGCCTGACTTTGTTGTGACAGGAATTATGGATTATAATCACAAAACTACAATGAGGAGATACTGAAATTATTTCAAAATATAGTGTCCAGTCTGTTGTTGTAGATAATGCAGAACATATGCCAATTTCAATGAAAATCTCTGTGTACCATAATAGGTGAAACGACAGAAACGGGGAAAAAAATGCGGTACTAAGAATTTTCATGTAGCTGCTTCTAGTGTTTTATGAATGTGTAAACTGTGTGATTCCCTCTGTAACACAGTAAGATGAATTAGATGCCATTTTTCGATAATAATTTCACACTAAAGAATTAATGTAAGTAATTAGATACATGCAGCAGAACATTTCTGGGTGATTATTGCTCACCTGCTGTGGTGATGTGCTCTGTATGACAGACTGCCAGCATTCGGCTTTAATCTCATACAGGCACATTCTCTAGACTCTGTGATTGCCAATCAAAATTTGAAATAATTCATTTAAATAACAAAACCCAGCAAGCATATTGGTGCATGAAAATGTCCACAATGCAACTGGCAGCAAGACAGAATTTCTCTGGAATTAAAAATCTTCATTGCAAAGAGTCTTAAAATTCTTCACTTCTGGCTTTTTACGTGGACTTCAGGCCTCTGGCCTTGCTCTGCTCTCCCCTTTGCTCTGCCGGTTGCGTGGTGAGGAAGACAGCAAGGAATAAGACAGACATCATCCAGTAGTACTCTGCATAAGAAGCAGATGATGTATCAATGTCCAGACTGGAAGCAAAACCGGCTTTATGGTTGAGTTGTTCCCAAGACAAATTCACAAAAAGGAAGTAAAGTAGGACTGGGGAAGAGCCGACAAAAATAGCATGGACTTTATAATAATCTTTCATGAGAAAAGTATTTTTCATGTGATTCTTCCTTATTTAAGATCACCGCAGTCCTTTCTGATCTTGCAAGGGGGACATAATCTTACGTCAGTTGGAGCTGTGCCATGTCCTTGAG